CCCCAAAACCCCAAAACCCCAAAACCCCAAAACCCCTTGCCTGATTAGAAAATTGAAAAATATCCTATCATTCTACTTCATTAGTTTCTGAAAGGACTATAGCTCTTGACCCTCTTTTGTGGCTCATAAGAATCCATCTTGTCTATGAGTAATAGCTTATCTCCAAGGCGACTCTCCCATCTGTTTTTTACAACTTGGTGCTTTTGTAATTCATTAAAAAATTCATCATCTATCTTCTTTGTATTATTTCCTTCTCATTCTTTTTGAAAGAGTGGGCTTTTGACGAGTTAGGGTATCAAATTCTATATTTTACACTCTAAATCTACCGCTATTCCTAAAGGAGAGTGCTTCTCTATTTCTAAATTTGGTGATCAGGCCTAGGCTAATCTTAGGAGTCTCCTTCCTAAAGTTCAAGAACTCATAGATATCATTATAGTCCACAATTTCAACTCCTTCATACATAACTTTAGAGTTTACATCATTCAAGGGGTTTGTCTTTTTCTACAAATGAGATTAAATCCTACATGTTTATCAGCTTTGTTCTTTGCTGACTTATTCACTAAGACCTTATGCTTCTTCCATACTGGAAGAGTTTCCTTAATTTTGGAATTTATCGGTAATTTTATGTTAAATTTTACCCTGTTCTGACCCCTTTTAGGGCTCTGACTAAGAATCTTCCTGTATCTATTTTGTGTGGTGTCCTAAATAAAGTAATCCATGAGATTACATAAATTCTTGACTTAAGATCCTTCATGTCCTGGGGGTTGTAATTTGGATTCAAGACTACGTATTGTTTCTCTCCCTTATCTACAAGGCTACAAAATTGACCTTTCTCTATTATTTTATCAGCCTAAATTCTTACTTTGATCCTTATTCTTTGCTGCTCCAAAGAACTCTCCTGAAAAGTTCTTGGCACTACCTAGAAAAGCTATTTAGAAATGGTAGGAAATAACTGTACCTGGAATGTTTGAGTTAATAGTATATTTCCTTGGCCGAAAAACATGTCTTTTTACTATGAGTCTTAGCAAAGAAAAATACCTTTCTTTGTAGGCTTGATCTTCAACACTTCTTTTCCTTCCTTCTTTTTGGATTTTTGCCTACAGGTCAGAGGAAGCTTACCGATTAGATCTTGGGGAAATAAACTGCTTCTGTTTTATTACTAATTCCTCTAAGGTTTTCTCAGGGTCCAGCTTTGACTTCATTATTTGATCAAAAGGAATGTATTCAATGTCCTCTGAATCTGAAGGTTTGTCTACAAATGTGAGTTTAATGAATATGAAGGCCTTACATCTTGAGTATAGATTTGTTAAGGATAGCTCATTCTCTCAGACTTTCCCAAGCCTGAAATTATTAAACTTCTTCTTATCCTTTGAAGTGTAATTTGAATAATCTGATGTATTAGTAAGGTAATTACCAAGGCCTCTCATTGACCCTTGAATTTGATCTGGGCTGACCCATCTCTGGTTGCTGTTCCTATAAATATAAATAAAAGCTCAAAATTATTCAATGATCTTAAAGACCATTTTAGCAAATATGGACTGGAGTCAGACAAGACCCAGGATTTTAGGATAAACTTTCATAATTAGGTAAGAAGATTATCAATTTTTTATTAAGCTTAAGAAGGTCGCGTACATTCCAAACATTCTCCTCTTGTATGTATAAGTCTTTGCTGGATTTTCAACATTCAGGAAGCCGAAATCAATAGTCTTTGACTGCTGGTGAGACCTAGTCTGAGATATTTCCCTATTATCTTCCATTTAAAATAAAATAACTTCAAATAGTGAATAAAATATAGGGGTTTTGGGGTTTTGGGGTTTTGGGGTTTTGGGG